AAAACAGTATTAATAACGTTATCACTACAGAAAAGCTCTTTTCGGCCATCAACTGTGTAGTTATATAGTATTGTTCTACACTTTTACATTTTATTTAACTTTTATAAACTTCATTAAGATGATAAAAGTCTCGTTAGAAAAATTGAGAAACTCAACTACAAGTTGAATAATGCCGAAAACGCAGTGATCTTTATAAATAATTGTGTTTATGATAGTCTAAACCCAAAATAAATAAATTTATATAAATATACATTCAGTAGTAAAAACACAAAATTAAAAATCGAATTGATCATTGTGAGATATTTGAAGCTATGAAGCAATAACTGCCACTAGAAATTTTTCTCATTTCTCTAAACAAACTCTTTTACTGAAATTCTATAACGACGACTCAATTTTTGGGCATGTTGAAATTTTTTTAATTTTTTGTATCGTTATGTTTCGCGATTAGCTAACGTAACTACGTAGCACCTTATTTCCTAATTAACCTAGTGTTTGTAAATATACTTCGCTTTGCTTGTTGTACAGTTTTTTTTATTTGAAAAAATATTGTTTAAAAGATGAATTGCATGTTTTTGAGATGTTTTGTTTTCATTGCTCACTTCGTTGCCACAACATTTCAATTATTGAATTTGTTAAGCTTAAATCAAAGTGTGACAAATATCTTTAAAAAAAAATCAAATTTCGAATCAAAAACAGCCGTGCACATTGTAGAAATCATTCCTATGTTGTTTTTCAGTTGAAACGTTTAAAACTATTTTTTATTATGACGATTTTCATAGTTTTACACATCTTTAAACATTTTTAATAATCCTTTTGTGTAGAAGAAGTGATATTGAGTGAAGAGAAGACAACAGATGAAGAGAGGCTAAAAATTATACAAGGTTTTTAGTTCAACATAGTCTTAAAATTTTGTATATAATATGTTGATAAATTTTGCTCTAATAAATTATTATAATTTGGTAGCCCGCCAAAAAATAGCAGCCACAAAGATGAAACAGATGCAGCAGTTGGGTAGTAAGGACGAGACTGACCTTGACGACAACCTGGAGCTCTTCACAGCAATGGGTCGGTAACATCCATTAATAAACCGCGAATATTTTCAATCATTCTTTTAAAAAAAATATACTCAAACAGTTTTATCACGTAATTGCAAGTGAAAAATATTGTACAAAACAGATTAAAACAAATTTTGTAAAAATTAAAGTGATTCAATTATTATTTTTGTAATGGATTCTTCTTACTGACTCTATCAAAAACTTGACTGTTTGATTTTTTAAAGGAGTAAAATAACTCACAAAGATCATTAATTATATGAATTAAATTAAATTGAACATAGAAAAAATAACATTATTTTTTACATGTTAATTTTTTCTTATCAAAACAAGACATTTAATTTTCTTTGCAGGATTCCTTAAAAATCAGAAAAAGCCATCTTACAGCCGGTTTTCAGGCTTGTGGAGAATAGAAAAACAAATCAAGTATTTCTTTCCACTTAATAAAATAGATATATTTAAAAGTACACTGGTAAAGTTTGAGGGTATTCATGTTGCGTTTTTACGCTTCATGAAATAAACTTGTTAAAAAAAATAGGTGTAACTTTTTGATATGAAGCACGAAATATATCGCTACCTAACTATACAACTAGATAAATATGTTAATAAAATAATAAAAATAATATTTAAATTTTGCGTTGTCAGGTTCAAAGTTCGCCACATAGTCAAATCTCAGGGATTTTATTGGTTGATAATTGTCCTCGTCTTCCTCAACACAGTCTTCGTGGCAGTTGAGCACTACGATCAGGCTGCTTTTCTTACTGACTTTTTATGCAAGTTCTTTTGAAGGGTTTAATTAGTTTGTTTAGCACTTCAGATGTTATCTTGTTCAATCACTGTAGCCGTTTAATGGAAAATTTAAAAAAAACCGGAAAGTATTTTAAATTTGCTCTTTTGTAGATTGACAAAAACATTCACATTTTTAAGAGTTGTATCAACTTTTTCATCACTGAACAAATTACTAACAATGTAACCTAAATGTAGAAAAAATATTTCAACGCTCAGACTATGCAGAATTTGTATTCCTTGGTTTGTTCATGTTTGAAATGCTCTTCAAGATGTACGGTCTGGGCATACAAATTTACTTCCAGTCTTCATTCAACATATTCGACTGCGTGGTCAGTCTTCTCTTTTATTCAATTTCCCAATAGATACATCGTTTCAATATTACATTACTATTTTTTACATATTTTTGCCGTAAATAATTTCTTAAAAAGTTGGCATTCAAATATCAGACATTGATTTTCAAACTTTTTCACGTTAACTTTTGGTTCTTTAATTGATGTATGTGCCTTTTCCGTGCAACTAAATCTTTCAGAATGATAGAAGCAGCTAAACGAAAGAAACAACAAACAGGAAATTTATTTTGATACAATAATCTCAGATTTAATCGCCTGCTGGTACATTTACCAGCAATATGTGTGTTATTAAAATGACGGTTCTATCATTTTCATTCATTGATAATAAGATTACTACAATTTTGCCTTTTTAAACTCTTGATGTTCTTTCTATAAATTGGATTGTGCATTTAATTTGCAGCAACATTATTCTGTTGAAAAAATGTTTGGCAAACGATCGAACAAATAACTACTGAAGAAGTAACGATGGAGAATTTATCAAGTTTGTTAGAATTAATCTTGTGTGAAAAAAGGGCAGAGTTTAGTCGCCAGTGAGAGAGGGCTTAAAGAGTCTGTGTGATTGAAAACCAAATAATGTTTACTGCTAGTGTAAGAAGATGTTGAAACGATGGAACGACTTAAAAAGATGTTTGAAAGTTGGAACAGCTTTAGAAGATGTTGGAAAAAGAACACAAGAAGGTGTTGGAAAATGTAGAACATCATAAAAAATGTTGGGAGGGGGATAATGAATAATCGTAGCAAAAAAAGTCATGAAAAATTGAGTCCGGCAAGTTTTAAAGAACAAAAGGGCTTGGACAAAACATGGTTGGAAAAGTGCAAAACGGTTAGGGTTAGGGTTATATTTTATTATTTACAGTTGGAAAACTGATTAGGAAAATAGGAAAATCGAAGAATGAGTAAAATTTTGTAATACATTTTTTTAAATTCTAATTTTATTAGGCAAATAATTGCATAGCATAAGTTTTGTACAGCCCATCAACACAGTTATATTTTTTTAAATTTCATAATTTTACCGTTCTTTACTTGTTAAATGATACATTTTTGTCATTTTTGAATTTTACATAAAAAAAATTCGCATTTGCCAAAATGTTATTATTTAGAATTATTTTAAAATCTGCTGTTGGTTTATATTACAATAAGCCAAGTCAAAGCCTCGAACAATTCAGAGCTCAACATTATTATTAATATGCATTCATTGGTTACATTTAATCGAATTTATCTTTTACTGAACAGTAAAATGAAAAAAAAACATTTTATTTAAGGTGATAGCGGGAAGTTTGTTTGAGGTTGTCTGGGCTGAATTCTACAAAGATAGTTCATTCGGTATCAGCATATTGAGAGCTATGAGATTGTTGAGGATTTTCAAAGTCACCAGGTTTGGACATATAAATCATCTATTGATAACATTTGAAAGATAACATTTTTTAAATTCATTTGTTTTTCTTTAATTGTTTTGATGCATTTGTTACGTACCAACATTTGAATTGATCTCCAGCATTTCTTTATATTCAGTAGCCAACTCAATAAGATGGACTTAATAAAATCATATCAGTTAATTGCCATCCTCATCGTTCAAAACGCTTGATTGTAACTAACGAATGATGATAGCATCACCCCACAATTAATAAGAGACATGACCAACAGCAATCGCTTGATTGTTTAATTAAATTGTGAATCACCCATACACCCACCTTAGAGTTACGTTATGAAGTTGTTGGTGTAATTTTCACATTGAAAGTTTTGAATGAATTTCCAATTCGATTCGATTGCCCAACAAATTTTGAAGAACTTATTTAGAGTACTTGCAACTTAGCGAGTACATGTACAAATGTAGCACTACATTGAAGAGCAAATGTGAGTACAAATACTTAAGTACCTAGTACATGTGCGAGTACCATTTGTTTTCGATTTGCCTCCAAGTACAAATAGCAATTACTACACGATTGAAAAATTTTGTACGTCTATTTCAAGTTAGGTATTTTGAAACAAACAGGTACTGGTCATCCCTGAGGAACTTGGTGATATCGTTGCTAAACAGCATGAGATCGATCATCTCTCTGTTGTTTCTGCTCTTCCTTTTCATACTCATATTTGCTCTGCTTGGAATGCAACTATTCGGAGGAGAGTTAGTTGCTTTCCGTCACCTAAAAGTCATTTCAATCAATTTCTTACGTAAAAGTATTTTATTGTAAAAATACTAGTTTCAAATTTAAAAATCCCTGAACTCATCGCACACGTTGCGTGCGGATATCTCTGCATTTGAACCATTTACTGCCACTATTCATCGCCCATACTGCCCAGTTGCAGCTGATGAGTTCATTAAAAAGTTCACTTCTATTCTTAAATTTTTTTTCGTTAATTTGAAGGGTTAAAAGTGTCATTGTCAAACTTGGCCAGAGTTTTGATGATATATCTATATATATATATATATATATATATATATATATATATATATATATATACATATGCAAAAAACTTTAGTAGTAATTATAATAAAAATATTGAACGCAAGATTCAACTTCTCCACCGGACGACCGCCGTGCCACTTCGACACATTCACTCAAGCCTTATTAACCGTGTTTCAAGTTAGATCAATATTTGGTTTATTATTGGAGAAATTAAACAAAATCATATCAAACAAATTTGAAATAAATCTTTAGTAAAAGAACACAAAGTTTTAATAATTAAATCTGAAAACTATGACGCAATTGTTAAGAGTGTTCCAAGAATTGTTGAAAGTTTTAGAACGAAATTGCTATAAAGTTAGCAAAAAAACACAGTTTAAAATTATTGCAAAATATTTGACAATAAAAAAATTAAAAATCATTCAACTGTGTTTTCCAGAAAGTAATTTTGTTCATTTTAAAATTTTCCAGATCCTAACAGGGGAGGATTGGAATGAGGTGATGTTTTTCGCCATACAGTCACGCGGAGGCATTCAAAAAGGCGGCATGTTGTACTCCGTATACTTTATCATTCTAGTGCTCTTTGGCAATTGTTAGTTTTGTTTTTGAAATAAGATTCAATTAACTTTAAACGAACAAGCAATGTCGAATTATCGAAATGTGTAAAAATTGATCTTTTTTTTCAAGCAATGAAAATAATTTCGCGGCATACAAACAAATATAACTTATTTTTTATAGTGAAATTTTTAAAAATTGATAGTTCCTTGGCTCCTTAATTTCATTTTTTGGAGATATTTGAAAAAAATTTTGGCATTTTTCTATCTAAATAAAAATCTCGCAGATACGTTGCTGAATGTCTTTCTTGCTATCGCCGTCGACAACCTTGCCAACGCTCAAGAACTGACTGCCGCTGAGGAGGAACAGGACGAACAAGTACCTACCAAATTGAAGTTCTTCAAAATAATTCCATCACTGAGTTACCTAATGGCAGTTTTTTAATGATCGGTTGAAGACAGAACCATTTTACCATAAACCATTAGCTTAATTTTTTTTGTATTCGTGTTTAGTGATGCGCTGAATCGAATATACACGCAGCAAATATTGTCTTCTAAAAAGTAAAGTTAACAGCAATTGTTTTAATATTTTAAAAAATAATTATTGATTTATTCAACTGCAATACTCAGATTGTAATTTTTCCAGCAATATATGACGTAACGTTAGTGAATACGCACAAATCAACTCAGCGTTGTACACTTTAACGTGTGGTAGGTTAGGTAGAAATCTCTTTGCATTCCTAAATCAGTGCTAACGCCAACCCACGTTGATTGAACCATTTGTAAGCCTTGAATGTAAAAAAAAATCTACTAGATGATTTCGTGTTGGGTTTAATGTGAAATTTTTAAAAATTGATAGTTCCTTGGCTCCTTAGTTTCCTTGGCTAATATTCGATGAAATTTGACCTCAGAAACGTCTGAAAGAACTGGAGAAAGATGGCCTCTGTCTGGCCAACATACCTGACACCTTGCCAGGAAGCATTGATCCGCCCCACGTTAACATCTGCCCACCGAGTCCGCAGAACAATGTCGATCCAAAAACTATCAACTTCAACGTGTTAGCAGTCGAAATGTTTTTGTTATTGAGTTATGCCGCAGAATAATGGGCTACGGAGAAAATGTAACTTCTTTACTACTTTGTTAGAGTTATAAAATGGAAATTATTATATAATTCCTGTAACCGTTTTGTGGCTTACGATTTTGTCATTCTTTTAAATTTTTTAAAAATTTAACATGTTTTTGAGCTAGTGTTATCATAAAGTAAAAAAATAGAAGAATTAAAGCAGACATAATTTCAGACAAAAGAGTCAATCTTTATTTTTTAATGTGTTTCAGATTTTTTTTTAGGAAAATTACTCTTAAAAAGAGGGCTTGGCTCATCTTATTAAAGTGGTGGCCAATTTAGTTGACAGTTTTACTCAACAATCAATTCTTAAAACGTTCAATTTTTGCGAAATATGCATTCCATTTTATAATTCAGGATACAGTTTGGCAGTTCGTACAACAAAAACAACATAGAGGCCTCCTTAAGACGTCTGGATGCACTGAGAATCATCAACAACAACGACGTGGGTGCAAGTCAACAAAGTTTCGACTCCCATTCGGCGAGCTCGGAAGGTAGGGAGTGAAAAAAATTAATTATGAAAAAATATGATTGATATATTGTTCTTTGAAAAAATCAGAATTTGACAGACTGCTATAACATGTAGACAATATTATACAACTTCATTCACATTTACACGTACCTATTTTTCGAGTGTTTTTGTTTCAAAATTTTATAAACTAATCCATGTGATGTAATGAAGTTATAGTGATGTAAAAGACAGCTTTCAATGCTCTCATTACACTTTAATATTTACTTTTCACAAAATGTACACATTAGTTAACGTACTTATTTCATCTTTCTTGGGTTTAAATTGTTTAATTTTCAAAATTTAGTCTGGAACGAAATTTGATCCGTCATGAACTTTAAAAATAATTTCAGTTTTTAAAAGACCAGTTTCAACTTTCAATGATTACTTATAGAAAAAACAATACAAATGATTAGAATGGAATATTGAAACGCAGGAGAGAGTGATGATGATCAGAGTGCGTTTGACGGGCCCAAACCCATGTTACCATACAGCTCCATGTTCATTCTAGGCTCAACTAACCCGTTTGTACATTGAAACTTTGAAAATATTTCGCTACTGAATAAAGAAATAATTCAACTAAATAAACTACATAAATGCCGCCTGTTTAAAACTTAAAAACTATCGTACAGTTTGTGACTTATGTTTTCGATATTTCTAATTTCATATGATTTATAAGATATACGCGATTTATAATTATAAAATATTCATTAATATGTTTACTAGATTTATATGTAACCTGAAACCGCAATTGATATTCCGAAAAAATCTTAAATTTTTTAAATTAGAAAAATAACTGATTATTTAGAATTCGACGATTCTGTCACTTTGTGGTCAACTTGCGATATTTTGACCTGTTCATAATGATCGTCATATGCGCGTCAAGTATTGCACTGGCGGCAGAGGACCCAGTTCACGAACATTCAACCAGGAATGAGATCCTCAACTATTTTGATTTTGTTTTCACAGGCGTGTTTACCGTGGAGATGACGTTGAAAGTATGCGCTATAAAAATTGAAATTTTTATAAAGTAGAAAAATATATGTAACTCATCCTCCAGGTAATCAACCAAGGAATTATTTTCCATCCCGGATCGTACTGTAGAGATCTGTGGAATATTCTAGATGCAACGGTTGTCATCTGCGCTTTGGTTGCATTTGCTTTTTCGTTAGTGGCTTACTTTATGAAATAATTTATGGAGATAAGAGTATGAAAAATTAAATTTTAATTGAATATTTCAGTGGTGATACAAATTCCGCCAGCAAGAATTTAAATACAATCAAATCTCTGAGAGTATTGAGGGTTCTAAGGCCACTCAAAACTATAAATCGTGTCCCAAAGTTGAAAGTATTTCTTAGTAAACTTTATTGACATCGTCTTTGCTATTTACAAACCAACTTTTAAATTAAAAGGCAGTATTTGAATGTGTGGTGAATTCGTTGAAGAACGTGTTCAATATAATGATCGTCTACATGCTCTTTCAGTTTATTTTTGCTGTAATAGCCGTTCAACTCTTTAAAGGAAAATTTTTCTATTGTACGGACGAATCAAAAACTATCAAAGCGGAATGCAGGTTAAGATTGTGTTTATATTTTCAGTTAAAACAAATTTGAAGAATTATTTTCAACTCATGCCAATTTCAGAGGTGATTATTTTGAATACCAATTGGTGCGAGGGGCATACGTGCCTGAGGTCAAAGTCAGAAAGTGGGATAAAAGAGAGTTCAATTACGACAATGTCCCGAAAGCCATGTTGACGCTCTTTGCCGTGCAGACTGGCGAAGGCTGGCCACTGTGAGATGAGAACTTTCTTTTTCTTTTAAATATTTGAATGCGTATGTTTGTTTTGTCTCATGAGGCAAACATGAATCAGTTTTTGTTGTGATAATAAATTCAAAGTAAATGTAGATTCAAAAGTTAGAATGTAAATGCAGAGTTGCGATTTTTTTTAATCCTTCATTATACAGCTCTTATTTAAAGCTTGTTTGTTCTTATTTACCTAGGATCATGCTTTTTTTGTGGCGCAAAAACCGCATGCAGTTCGGCGCTGTTCGTTGTTGCTCAGCGACACTCAGTTTGAAACTTTATCGTCTGAGTTAACTTGCCAATCAGAATGGACTATCTATCTTGTCCATTTTTTTTATTAAATATTGACTTGCAGAAATGAAATTATTCATTGCGAAACGAATAGTTTTTAATCTTCGTAACTGAACCAGAGTCTATGCGACTCAGCTGTTCATCTTTTCAAATGAAAATCTCTTCATGATATATGCTATTTCCTTGTGTTAAACATATGATGTCGTGTACCACCGTGGCAGCTTGCAATATGTCTAGAGAAAAAAGATTTAATGCAATATTGTAACTCTAGACATTTCTAAAGATCTATCAATTTAGCCTGCTATGTGTACCTTTTTGTAAAGATATGGGGACTGTTGATGAGCAGTTATTGATGAACACATTTAATTTTAAACTTTAAATTTTTACTAATTTATTTTCTGTCAGCTACACAACAAATTGTGACATTTTAGTTTTTACTGCACAATAAATTAACTATGTTGATAGTATAAATAAGTCACAAAAGCTATCGAATTCAAATGAATATTTTACATGCAAATAAAAAATATTTTGGAAATTAGTAATTTTTGAAACGGTACTTGCAGTGTCCTGAGAAATTCAATAGATGCAACGCATAAAGACGAGGGGCCACAACCAGGTTGAAATTATTTTTTAAATCTTTTTTTTTGAATCACCTGATAACAGCGGGAGACCAAAATATTAATATTATTAATTATACAAAAATGCTTAGGTGTTGCACTGCAACAGAACTTTGAGCTTAAATTAAATGGATTTTAATTCAGTTTTTCAAAATAATACAATTTGTTAATTAGAGCTTTACCATATAAAAAGTTAAATTTTGACGGCAACTACGTAAGTAAGAGAACTAAAAACCGAAAACTAGTAGCGAAAATGATGACGGATGACCCGAAAACATGTTTAATTGTTTCATTCTTATCAGGTGCACTTATAACTTTAGAATTTAAAATGTTGGAAAAAACTTAATTCAATTTATAATCATTGAAAATATGCTTCATGTATCTTTGATAAATAAAAGTTATGGTTCAAAGAAAGCAGAAAAATAGAGAATTAGCAATCTAAACATTAAAATAAAAAAAGTTACAGAAAATGAGAGATTTTATGCTAAAAAGAATGAGAAAACTATTTTTAAATCGCCGCTCGATCCTCAGGTAGCATATAACATTGAATGGATCTCATTTTTTTCACACAAGGTCCTAGCCAATACGCTATTTGGGTCATGTCATATTGGCTCAATATTTAAAAGTTACCAACAATTTGTAACTGCTAATCTGTGGGATATGCTGACAAAACTCTGTTAATCTATTTAAAATTAATTTAACTGCAACAATGGGCTGTGTATTTAGACGTTTGATATTTAAAAAAACTAGACAGAAACCTCGTCAGAAATTTTGGATAAAATAATTAAAAAATTCTTGTATTTATTGCTCGTTAGTTGCTAATAGTTTAAAAAACACCTCAAACTTTTAGACGTCAATTATATGTACGTATATAGAAAATTTTTTTAATTGAGTCAAGGTATTGATTGTGATTTATAATTTTGTTAGCCCAAATAATTTTGGGCTCCCTAACTTATAAACTTATAGGATCAATTCATTCACTAAAATGTACGTCGTTGATGAACGTGAAAATTATTCGAAGGTTACCGCATGCAGATGGCCATATTTTACATAATCTATTTCATCGTTTTCCCGTTTTTCTTCATCAACATTTTCGTTGCCCTCATCATCATCACGTTCCAAGAGCAAGGAGAACATGAGTTGGAAGACCAAGAAATGGACAAGAATCAGGTTGGGTCTTACTAATGAATCAATACAATCATTTCGTGATCGATGGTTAATTACCTTCATGCGGAAACATTACGTGTAGGCTCTTCGTTTTATGAAACATGATTAAAATTTCAAATTATTAAATTAAATTTTTTTAATTTAAGTATTTTTAACTGACCAACGTTTTTTGTTCAATAACGTTTCCCGACCGATTAACCGACCAATTGACCGGTTTAACTCATCGTCTGACTAACCGTAGATTGACTTGAGTATTGTTTTTAAATATATTAAACCCTGTGGTTGCCGCGCCCACACCTATAGGCACACACACACGCACACACATAGGCACACACACACACGCACACACATAGGCATACACACACGCACACACATAGGCACACACACGCACACACATAGGCACACATAACTTATATGTATATTATACGACGTTCATTTTAGATGAGATCATCTGCAGCTAAATGTGCTTATACGAAACACTACGTAAAGACATTATTGTTTAAAATCTGTGTGTAAATTTTAATATTGTCTTTAATTTCATTAAGTTTACTTTGAATTTTTTTATTCAGAAACAGTGTATTGATTTTGTGATAAACGCACGGCCTATGTGCCGTTTTGTTCCAAAAAATAAAAACTCTCTGAGGTATTATATATGGAAAGTCATCGTGTCTCCGATTTTTGAATACACTGTCATGGCGATGATCGTCTGTAACACTCTCCTACTCATGATGAAGGTTTCGTGTTTTACTATTTTTCTTTTTTGTTCATAAATGAAATTGAATTAAAAACATCCAATTTTGTCTATGCTTGAAATGTTTTTTTTTATCTGAACAGTTTTACCAATATCCGAAAGTGCTGAAACCCGATTCAGACAACCAATACTCAAATTATCTCTCAGTCCTGGGGTATCTCAACATGTTTTTTACGTTTGCCTTCTTGTTTGAAGCTATTCTTAAAATTGCAGCCCTTGGTCCCAAAGTAAGTTGTAAAATATTTTAGCAGCACTGACATTAACATCATCATCATCATCATTATTATATTATCATTATTATTATTTTTTAGATATTCCTCAGAGGTTATTACAACAAAGACACGGTGCATATAAATACACGTAAATCAACGCATCACACACTTTTGTATGTGATAGGCGTGAATAATTTTGCATTAGAACCCGGACACTGCGTCAACAATGCCAGGCACCTTAACCATTACGCCATTGTTTTTGTATGACGGATGAACTTTTTATAAGATGATTTAACTTAAATTTTCCAGCTGTACGCGAAGGATAACTGGAACAAATTTGATTTCGTAACGGTGATGGGCAGCTGTGCTGAAGTTCTCATATCTCACTTCTTCAAGGATGTTCAAGAAGTTCGTTTTTGCGAATGCACCGGTTTTCAATGCATATCAATGACTGTTTGTGTATAGTATACCGAAACTTTGCCATTATTGGTCACTAATTAAAACTAACCCATTCGACTATCCATTTTGGACGTTTGCATATAAAGACATGGTTTAAAATGTGTATATTAAAAATCGTTTAAAAATAATATTTTCAGTCGATGATAAACATCGGGTTTTTAAGACTGTTTCGGGCAGCTCGCCTGATCAAACTGTTAAGACAGGGCTACACAATAAGGATACTTCTATGGACATTCGTTCAATCATTTAAAGTTATTTCGATTCGTTATTCTTCATTTATTTATATTAATTTCATTTAACTTTTTTTATATAAACTAATTTTATTTTTGAATATTTTTTCATGAAGGCTTTGCCCTATGTCATCCTTCTCATAGCTATGCTCTTCTTTATATACGCCATCATTGGAATGCAAGTTAGGGTTCATTCATAATTTATTCTCTAAATTAAACGGCTCATTTCTTTTTTAATTTTAAACTCTGCACAAATCGTTTGAAAAAATGTGGCAATAATTCAAAAGGCATTTTTGATTTTGACAAATGAACTTTAAAACGTATGGTCCAAGGTTCTAATAACTTTTTTATATATTTTTCTTATTGCAATTTGGCGTAACTTTTGAAAGTACAAAATGCTTCATTCTTATGGTTATTTTATATTTAAATTTTGTTTCGTGCTTCCTACACGTTCTATAAAACAACGTCCTTCGTGTTCGATGTTCCAAGCCTGATTTTCTACCACTTTTTAAGAAACTTTCACAGATTAACATTAACATATTGTTCTTTTGATTAATCAATTGGTCAGAAAATAATAAGACAGCAATGTCACAAAATAACGAGATTAAAATTCAAATGAATAATTCTACAATTTAATCTGAAAAAAATTGTTTGAAATTTTTCGCAGATATTTGGCAACATAGCATTAAAATCAAGCAGCGATATAAACAGACACAACAACTTTCGAACGTTTTTTAACGGAGTATTGTTGTTATTCAGGTTCGTAGCAGATATATAACTCAAGAATAATATTTATGACGGTTGATGCTATTACATCGAACATTTTTAAACAGATAACCTTTCAAGAAAACACACATAAAAATCAAAAATACACTTCAATTTTTTCTAAAATTGAAAATCCCAAATTTGAATGACGAAATTGTTAGGTGTGCAACAGGCGAAAGCTGGCAGCAGATAATGTTGTCCTGCATGGCTGGCAAACCTTGCGACCCTGAGGCTTCTGTCACTAAGCAGAACTCGTGCGGGTTGGACATCGCCGTTCCATATTTTGTCTCCTTCATATTTTTCTGCTCTTTTCTTGTAAGTTAATTAAATTTCTTTCAGTATTCATTTTTCTCAATTTTGTTAGAGATGAATTAATAAAAGAATGGATAACTTACACTTTAACATTTTAAAGATATTTTTTGGCAGTGGAAAATTAAAAAGAATATAAAAAGGACTCAAAGATTAAACAAAATTTTGAACAAATGCTGCTATTTACTTGAAAATTTTTTCAAAAATTGTTTTTCGTTGTAATGAATTTAAAAAATTGAATTCATGTCAGATGCTGAATCTGTTCGTCGCCGTCATTATGGATAACTTTGACTATCTTACGAGGTTTTTTGATACTTTAACCTTTTCAGAAACAAATTTTATTACTCAATAAAGTTGCGTTGATTCATTTTATAACTTGTGCTTTCTTTAATTCAACACATACAAAATTTATTCATGTTTTATAATTTTGAAAACAAAATTTATTTTGAGATGAAACCAAGAAACTCTTATATTGATAGTTTCGCCATTGAAATGATTTTTAAAAAATAAGTTTAGTTTACGAGTTTACGGTTGTTTATGTTTTATATTGCCGATAGAATCTTACAGCTTGCAAAAAATAAAAAAATTAAACACAGAGACTCGTCGATTTTACGAGTTTACGGTTTACTCGTCGATTTTAGTTTACGAGTTTACGGTTGCTTATGTTTTATATTGCCGATAGAATCTTACAGCTTGCAAAAAATAAAAAAATTAAACACAGAGACTCGTCGATTCTCGGTCCTCACCATTTAGACGAATTCATCAGAGTCTGGGCTGACTATGACCCTGGAGCGACGTTAGTGAACTTGGTGACGTGCATTCATTACTGCGACATTAATTAGTCAATTCAGCATTTTATTATAGAATAATAGTTTAGTAAAAGTCTTCATGTGAACAAATTTGATTTGAAGAATGTTCATTCAAATTTTCAAAGTACGAAACGCGCTCTTTTTTAATTATATTTCTTTGTAAAGTTAAATTTCCTTTATAGGCGTGACCAGGAAGGAGTCTTGAGTCCACAGCCTCCACGATAATTTATATTAATTTATGTAAATTTACGGAAATGTATGCAAATTTAGACCCTACATGGATAAACGTTACAAATTTATTAATAAAAACTTTTAGGATAGATTTCCAAACTTCTCGCCGAACAATTTTCTTGACGATTGCGTCATTGGTTTCATCTGAAATCGGATAAATTTAATTAATAACTAACAAACTTTGCCTTTTCCATCTTTGTGTGAGGCAATAACTGTAAAAAACTAACTATTTATGAAATCCTTGTTCCATCTGACCAAATTTTACAATGTGCAGAACAAATTTACATCTTCGTTTCTTTATAACGCCACTTTGACAAAAATTTTGCGTAGTAGCTTCAGTTTTGTTTCTATGTTGATATTACTAACTAAAGGGCAAATCCTCGCATACATACAGCAATCGCATCTCCGTCACAAACATGTACGAGATGATGAGGACCATGGAGCCGCCAGTGGGTTTCGGGAAAAAATGTCCTTACAGGCTTGCTTACAGAGTTAGATTCAGTTTTATTTATTGCTTTTTAAAATTACTTATTTAAAGTCAAACGTCTTGCAATGCATTAAAGTTTAATGAAGCTAAACCACGGCTGATTTTTCTGTAACACTATAACACTGAGCCTGCTCATTATTTATTCAACGAACAACATCTAGCCAACCCCCTAATCAATCAGTCAATCAATCATTCAAATAATCAATCAATCTATCTATCAATAAATTTATCAATCTATCAACTAATTAATCAACTAATCAATCAACAAATCAATCGATTGATCGCTCAATCAATTAATCACTTTAATTAGTGAGTTTGTGCGAAATTACGCATCATAAATAAACTTAAGTGTTTCTTGTGTGCGAAACTCCAAATTATAAATACTTTAAGTACTGTTTAACTTACAGTTATAAATTTTTGAAACATACATAGAGGACGAAATTTTTAAACTCACAACATATTGTACAAGTTCACGTTTAAATAAGCGGCACTATCATTTTTGAAAAGTTAATAAGTATAAATTTTAAAATATTTTTTTCAAAGAAACTCATCCGGATGAACATGCCAGTGGACGAAAATGGGACGGTCCACTTCTCGACGACGTTGTTTGCGCTGATCCGGGAGTCACTGGGTATCAGAATGGGTCCTGGTCAGTTTTTTGCGAAATAATAATTATATTGTTATCTAATTAATAAGATAATTAAACTAATTTAAATACTTTCGTTTAGTTTTTTATTTTCTGATTTGTTTTTACTGTGTGTTTATAAGTTTATTAGTTTTTTTTAACAAATTAATTTCATGTAACGCATTAAAAAAACGAAACATGAAAAAGGGCCCTAAAAAAGATATAAAAGTTTCATTTTTTAACAAACAGCTTTTACAATGTTTGCACGTTGTTATAAACATTGCCAAGCCAATTTTTTCTAAAAATAATATACCGTTTATTAAAGAACAAATTCGTTTAACAGATTTTTAAATTTCACCATTCAACACTAAAATTATTATTTTTAGCTTCACTGTTACTAATTTATCTCAAAAATTGTTTTAGCTGATGAGATGAATAAAAACGACGACTCGTTAAATATGAAGTGCAATTTATAAGAGCGTGATTTTTATACAGACAAATTTCAACAAAAATGTTTTCAAATTTCTTTTTCAATTAATATGTGGAGTTTTGACAAATTAAAAAATTTTCATCTTGCTTTTCTTTGTCGCAAAGTGAGGCAATTTGAAAAAAAACCTTCATTGAAAAAAAATTTTTTCAATAACAAAGTTGACGCAACATAGCAATAAGTTATTTTTTACACAATCCAAGGAATAAAATTTTCGATTTATTTATTGTTGGCAGTTCAAAATACTTGTTATGAAGTAATTCGATCAAAATATTTTATATTAGTTATTCAAAAGTTTTTTTTAGCGTCTGTTCAGTAACGTGCAATAGAATTTAGAATTTGGATAAATGTCCTGTAAAAATATTTAACACTATTGCTAGTCAAATGCATGCATTTACGCAGTTTTGTATTGCTGAATAAACACACTTCAAAGGAAGTGTTCCAGCTTAAAGAATGCCTGTTTTTGTGTGTATTTATATGCCTGATATATAAATAAATTTTCAATTATATGCTTAGTGTAATAGGGCAAGATTTTTCGTGAAAATTTTGTTTTGTGAAAAATGTTAAAAATTCAGTGAACGTGTTTAAAATATCTTTTTTTTCAAAAATCGTTTTAGCTGATGAGATGAATAAAAACGACGACGCGCTGCGAGAAACGATAAAGAAACTCTGGCCCATTGAATCGAAGAAGATCTTGAACTTTCTAGTTCCAACCAACGAAGGTTTCCTCAAATTATTTGTTTCTCATCTGATGTAAGCATTCGATTTCATCTGTTCTAAGATTTGTTTTAGTTATATTTCACTTAAGCTTGATGCTTTTTGATTGCAGTCTTAACTTGAATCATAATCAAAGTGATGTTTTGAAATTTTGAAGCAGCAAGCAAGCTAAATTAAGCTTAATAAATCGCCATCAACAACTGCAATAAATTTTGAAATTAGTCCAATATATAGTTTATAGATTTTCCTTGAAACGTGAATTTTTCTTGCAGTATGGTTTTCCGTTTTTGCTTTAAAATATAATAAATTTGCTTATAATATATTGAAATTTTTTTTGACAATTTAAGAGCTTGGCAATCATAAAATGACAGTCGGCAAAATATATGCAGGCCTCTTGATTGCAGAAAACTGGAAAGCATTCAAGTCCAACAAAACTGAGGTATTATATTATGATTGCTATGAATCGATGTTTTTTATTAAAAATTATTATCGTACAACCGATGGTTTCATAGTCCCATTTCTTTACAATTGATCTTAAAATTAAATTATTTTACAATAAATTTACATACCTTACCGACTTAATTACAGAATATTTACGGCAAAAAATGTGATTCACTGGAGGTTTGTTTATCATTTTGTCATTTACATCTTAAAAACTGTCTCTTATTTGAGCAAATATCAAATGCTTCCTCTTTGTTGTGTAATGCCAACAAATTAACAAATTAATTTCAACTTTTTAACTTTTCATTTATAATTTTTTCAAAAAAAAATATTTTTTATGTGCATTCATATGTAATCAGAAATTTCAGTATATGTGCGGTACCCTACATATATAAGAACACTACATCGGCAATAAAAAAATTAACTGAATGAAAAACCCTCAAAAACCAATGAACAAGAAACACTAACAGACACATTCACTTGCAAGCAAACAAACAAACAGACGGACAAACAAACAAATGAACACCACACACACTAATGAGAGACATGACACGTGGAGTGCGAGATATGATATGATATAAATAGATAATTTACTGGTTTACAGTAAAAATTATAACAAAACCTCGGCCTCAGCTTTGATTTTTGTCTATGCGGTGTTTACACCGTGTTATCTTTTCGGATAATTATACAATCCAAGATTGACTCCATCAAAGAAGAGCTTCACTCTAAAAAGTAATCCTCGTGATCTCTGGCGATCGCTCAACAACCTCCTTCTTTCTCGTCCGCCACAACACTATTTTGATGATGAGTGCCAAATCTTTGTCAACTCTTTCGCAAATCATTTCTTATCAAAAATAAATAATATACATCAGTCAATTAAAAACAATGTTGAAACAGATAACATAACACCTTCCAAACACAGACCACAATCAACAAATATATTCGACGCCTTTCCTGCTGTTTCGGTTTCGGAGGTGTTAAAACTCATCTACTCTCTTGCTAATAACACATCTCCACTTGACGTTTTCGCATACTGTTCTTTTCACAAAATTTTCCCAACTCCACGCTCCTGTGATCTCAAAGCTTGCTAATCTTTCTTTTAGCAAAGGTGTTTTTTCTACCATCTTCAAAACTGCCCAAGTTCTTCCATAACTTTCCAAAACCTCACTTCTTAGTTTTGACTCAATTTGGTATGGCTCTCGTTACTGTTAGTTATTCTCGAAGAATTTTTGCAGATTATATATTTCTTCAATTTAAATTATTTATAGGTGAATTGGTAAATTTTTAATAAGCTATGCAATCTGAATAAACCGGTTTAGTGCTTATTTGTTCATAATCAACACTTAATTCGTTTGTCCACATTCATTCATTTACATTTTGGGAACTTCTTTTGAAAGTTCCGGACTAAATAGTAAAATGATTTTAGACATTTATCAAAAGCTATTTAGGTTTTTAATAATTTTTAAATTTTATTAAAAGCAGAAGCCAAATTTGCTGCAAAAAATATTTGACTTGAAAGCGTACAATTCATCGGATTGTCTGAACGTTTTTGAAAACTTTGATCCACTTAAAAAGTCTTCCAACTACAAGTACGTGGTTTTATAAGGTCTTATTATTTTCATATCATCAAAGGAACTTTTTTTTATCAGCATCAGCAATTTGTACAACCAAACAACTTCTTTGGAGAACAGCGATAATGAGAAGAACAACAGCAAGTGTTTCAAGAATAACGAGCAGGTTAATCTCGTCTCTTCGTTAAATTATCCGGTAACACATTAGTCATAATTTTGTCCTAAGATATTTTCAGAACTTCAAGAAATTAATTATAATAATAATTAATAAATTAGACATTACTGTTTTACCATACTTACTAATCCAAATACATTTACGCCTAATTTGATTAATTTAATTGGTTTACGTGTAATTATATGACGTAAAACATTAGTGGCATGATGCAAAACAGATCAAACATCCACATGAAGCATGTAAGTTCGAATCTTCCACTCACATGATAATTTTTGGAGTTTTTTTATTTATGTGAAAATTATTTTTAATTAAACGAAATAAAATTTCACGGTGGTGTCTGAAGAAAAATAAAATTTATTTGCAATAAATTTCGTTTTAAAATTCCAGAATTCCTTTGGAGACGATTGCATGAATAAAGCAAACGAAGAGCATTACCTCAACTTTGACAGCCAGGCACGCGAAAATTTCAACGCTTACAATACTCACCAACAACAACTTTCCCATCAACTTTATCAACAAAATATGAGTGATAAACAACAATCCTTGTACAATCCTCTGAATGATCTTCAAGGCCATCAAATGTTCTTCAATAAAGACATCAATCGACTCCAACAATCAGATAAAAATACTTTGGAAACAATTAAAGTTGCTGATTTAGCATCATCGACAGTGTTTGCCAAATCAATAAGTACTATTTTTTCGTCGTTCAACAAATCGGTAGCAAGTGCCTTCAGCAATTTTCTATCAACAACTGCTCCCATCAAAGTGAACAGCGTTTCATCGTCGTTCACAGAAACAAATCTAAATAATTGCGCGGTAACAGCAACTCTGTCTCAGACGAACAGCTCAAATATGCAACACATGCAACAAATTCCGATTCAGCAACAATATTGTCAGCCCAGCCAGAGCAATCAGGAATATCTTGATTATTTGCAACAAAACATGCCGTGCAGTCTGATTGATAATAACAATTTCATGCTACAATCACTGAAACCTATGCTACAGCCGCAGGAGTTTCAACAGACAATTCAAAATCCGACAAATTTATTCAACAATTCTGTTTATAATGCAAACACTTTTTTTGATGAACAGTTCAACATACAAAATCAGAATAAAGAAATTGAAAACTATCAAAACTGGATTATGCAGCAGCATCAATTTCAGCAACCCTCCCAGCAACCTGATATCCAGGCAATGCAGTACCAAAACCACAGGCTGCAACATGGCCCGGATATTATGTCAACTTTTGAACAACAAGAAGGTAAATAAGTTTATTACATTCATTTTTACAAATTTAAAATAAACGAGCTGATTTTCAAATCTTTCTGAACAAAAATTTTGAAGCAATAACAAATTTAGAAGCGTCCTTACATAAACAGATTAAGATTTTTGCCAGATCTTTGTGTAAATTGTTTATTAATGTTAGTGCATAATATGAAGAAATAATTTACAATTTGAAACTAAAATAAGTTTTTCATTTGATTAAAAATTGATTTGTTCAATGATTTCAATACAGATAGCCACCAGCAAACCTTCTATACTCCACCGACAAAACCACTCCAACAAAATTTTTTTTTCAAAAACCGGCGTCTTAAACTTAACAACAAATCTATTGCAACTAATAACTCCGATGGTTTTGACAAACGAGAAAAAATATTCTCCATACCTTCAGATGACATGAACTTCAGGGACAGACAGTCGAACACTGTTTTGCACCAGCCTATGAATGATTCTTGTCAAAGGCAGTACGACAAATACGACTTCAGCAACATTCCAATGAGTCAAAACCCAAGATACACGCAAAACAAACTTAACCAAAGTACAACTGCATTCGGTTACTCACCACATCGCGCTCCAAATAATTCACCAACAAAGTTACCCTTAAACGAAGACAGACGAAAATGTTTTCAGCGCTTACGACATCGTTCCTATTGTGATAAACTACCAAAGATCCTACCCTCTCCGACCGATCTCAATAACTGCATGATGCTATCAAACTCCTCCATCAACTTCCCCAGGCTGAACAAGTCACCATCCAGGTTTGCAAACAACGAGGAAGATGATCAGTGGCAGGAAGCAGAAGATTCCTTCGACTGTTCGTTGCGCTCTTCATTTTGAATTTCATCATTTATTTATTTAGAAAATTTGCAATTGATCATTTTGCCATTAATTGTAAGTCACAATTCAAATTCACGCAAATTCATACGTAGATACTGTCATTGATATATTGAAACATTCACCTGGTTGAAAATAAAAAGGATGAGCGTACTTAAAATAATCGAATAAGCGTATCAAGTTTTTTATATTTACAAAGTTTCAAATAAAATTTCCAGCCACCTACCCACCATCCTCCTCCACCACGGTCACGATACACCCACAACAGCAGCAGCAGCAACAGCAGCAGCAACAACATTATTTTGATAAAGTGAAGACGTTGCAATCGCAGAAATTAAATGAGTTCAAGCCAGACAGCAGAAGACAACAATTCGAGAAGGGAGACGAAAGTGCAAATTTTCCTCGCCAGCAGCAGAAGTATCCATCGCGAAGTAAAAATGATTTCGAAGAAACCGACTGGTGTTAGTATTTCAAAGGATGATTCACATTTTTCATTTCATTTTTTTCTTCTCATTTGTCTTCTTCAATTTTTCCTCGTTTTCTTATCAATTATGATTAACTAAAATGATGGCAAACTTTGTATGAGGATCTTAGCGTATAAATTGTCGTTTTAATTTCAATCATGAATTTTATAAAAACTATCGACCCTAGTGTAATGAGATCAAGTGGAATAGAATAATTTGAGCAGACTTAACTTGATAAATTATCGCTCGAGTTTTGAAGTCACTCACTCCTCATGGTCATGTTTGGTTTTTAACTTCAATATCAAAACGAACTCATAAAAATAGGTAGCTACTGATCAACTTTTTTTTATGTAACAAAATGTTTGTTTTTGTTAAAGTTATAATCATTGCATCATGTGTGTTTGTGTGCATGCATATGTAATTACTAATGTTTATCATTTCATTTTCATCGCTATTAAGTTTGCAATTGAGCTTTTCTATTTTACGCATTGTAATTTCATCTTCAATATTTAACCAATCAACGTTGAGCGGGCTTAGGCATGTTAAGTAAGAGGTGGGATTATTAGCGTGGAAGTAGGAGCGTTAAGAACGCAATTTGTTGGATGGTTTTAGCAGCTTTATTTTTAAAATGTCGTGTGATTGTGAATGAAAATGAGGTCAAGAGCTG